AATGGCCTCCAACTCCATCCACATTCCTGCCGAGGACATGATCTCATTCATTTTTATGGGTGCATAGTATTGTATGGTGTATATGTGCCACATTTTTTTTAATCCAGTGTACCACTGATGGACATTTAGCTTGATTCCAAGTCTTTGCTGTTGTGAGTAGTGCTGCAATGAACATATGTGTACATGTAAGACATGCCCTTTCTTTTTTACTTATTTTATTCTATTTTACTTTAAGTTTCAGAATACATGTGCAGGATGTGCAGGTTTGTTACATACATGCTGTCTGCCATGGTGGTTTGCTGCACCTATGGACCCGTCCTCTAAAGTTCCTCCCCTCGTTTGCCACTCTCAACAGGTTCTGGTGTATGTTGTTTCCCTCCCTGTGTCCATGTGTTTTCATTGTTCAGCTCCCACTTAGGAGTGAGAGTATGTGGTGTTTGGTTTTCTTTTCTCATGTTAGTTTGCTGAGGATGATGGCTTCACACTTCTTCCACGTCCCTGCAAAGGACATGAACTCATTTCTTTTTATGGCTATGTAGTATTCCATGGTACATATGTACCACTTTTTCTTTATTCAGTCTATCATTGATAGGTATTTGGATTGGTTCCATATCTTTGCTACTGTAAATAGTGCTGCAGTAAACATACATGTGCATGTGTTTTTATAGTAGAATGATTTATATTCCTTTGGGTATATCCAGTAATTAAATTGCTGGGTCAAATAGTATTTCTGGTTCTAGATCTTTGAGGGATGGCCACACTGTCCTCCACTATGGTTGAACTAGTTTACATTCCCACGAGCACTTTCATCATTCTTGTTTAAACACCTAACAGGCATCCTAACCAGTGCAACATGGCAAGAAAATGAAATAAAAGACCAATAGAAGAACCAGGCATGATGGTTCACACTTGTGATCCCTACATTTTGGGAGGCTGAGGTGGGAGGATCATTTAAGTTCAGGAGTTTGAGACCAGCCTGATAGTGAGGCCTCATCTCTACCAAGTAAAAATAATTTTAAAAGGAAAAAGATCAACAGACAGGAAAGGAGGAAATATGTCTTTGTCACCAGCTTCATTGCACATGCAGAAAACACTAGGAAATTCTGAAAAAGTCTCTGGAATTAATTATTGAATTTGCAAAATAGTTCAGAAAATATATGTAATAATCCACTTAGGTGAACATGAAAAGATAGCAAACAATACTGGTCATCAAAGAAGTGAAAGTAAAAACCACAATCAGAAACCACCACACATCCCCTAGAATAGGTAAAGTTAAAAAGACATATGATAAGTCTAAATACTGGCAAGAGTATGGAACAAATACCAATGTCTGTATTGCTGGTGTGAATGCAAAAAATGTTGCAGCCGATTTGTAAAGCAGTTTGGCAATTTCTTACACAGCTGCCCATCCATTACCACATGACCCAGCAATTCCACAAATATGTATTTATCCAAAAGAAATAAAAGTGTAAGGCCACATTTGTGAACAGTTACTTATAGTGGCTTCATTAGTAACACACCCTAACTGGAGTAATCCACATGTCTATCAACTGGAGAATAGAGAAACCAATGAATAAACTGGGATTCTAGCTATACTCAGCAGCTGCTCAGCAACAAAAATGAATGAATGGCATCATCTCAAACATTGTTATGCTGAGTGAGAGACCAAACAAAGGACTACATCACATATGATTGCATGCCCATGAAATTCTAGAAATTTCACTAATGCAGTGACAGAAAGCAGAGCAGTGGTTGAGTGGAGGGAAGGGTTGGGGGTGGGAGGCAAGGATTAAATAGAAGGGGGCATAGAGAAAGTTTTTAGGGAAAAGAAACTGTTCTCTACAGTGCCACAATTCTGGAGTGACTGGGTGGTGGGAACTAAGGAGAAAGGAGGGAGGAGATGGGCAGAGAGAAGGGCTGGGGAAGCAGGAGGTGAGGAAAAGGAGCAGAGGAAAGGACTCTAAAGCAGTGGATCAGCCTAGCAGGCAGTTCTTTGCATGTGGTTTCTCTACTGATCAGTGTGGTACTTACAAGACTACAAATAATTACCAATATTCACCAAAAAGCACAGATAAAACTGGTAAATTTTATTATGTGTAAATGCCCTATGCCTAATCTGTGCTTTTTGGTGAATATTGAAAAAAAAAAAAGGGGGGGGGGGGGGGGGGGGGGGGGAAGAAGGCAAATAAACACATTTTTAGATCATCCAAACCATAAAGTTCATTTCCTAGGGGTCCTGTACTACATGTAATTTTAAAGGCAGTTCTTCAAGCTGAAGAGAAATGATACTAGATGTGACCCAGATACACAGAAAGGAACAATTAACAACAGAAATGATGCACACACACATATCACACACACACTCATTTTCTTAATTTCCTGAAGACATATGGCTGCTTGTCTAAAACAAAAACTATTACACTGTGTTGTTGAGTTTATATTGTATATTGGTGTAATATATACAACAATAACAGCACAATAGTAGGCTAAATGAAACTTTACTGTTACAAGTGTCCTTTATTTTGCTGGATGTAGTTTAATATTACCTGAACTTCACTGTGAAAAGTCAAGGAATTGGGTTTCCATTCTTACAACAATAAAACGTAAGTGTAAAGAAATATAGCTAAAAGCCACTAGGAGAATTAAAACCATAACCTAAAAAATGTGTACTTGACACATAAGAAAGTGGCAAAGAAGGAACAGAAACATAAAGATATGAGACAAATTGAAAGCATATAGAAAATGGTAGACGTTTTCTTTTTTTTTTTTTTTTTGGTACCAAATATTTTTATTTGAAGGAATGGTACAAAGAACTTAAGTAGATGTTTTGGTAGAACTTATAGAAAAGGTAAAGGAAACCCCAATATGCATGCACTGCCTTGGTGACCAAGGAAGTCACCCGGTGGCAGTGGGGAAATTAGCCTAAGGCTTAGCTTTCATTATCACTGTCTCTCAGGGTGTGCTTGTCAAAGCGATATTCTGCCAAGCCAGATTGGGGTGCTCCCATCCTGCGCAAGTTCGTCACGTGGTCACCCAATTCTTTGATGGATTTCACCTGCTCATTCAGGTAATGTGTCTCAATGAAGTCACACAAATGGGGGTCATTTTTGTCAGTGGCCAGTTTGTGCAGTTCCAGTAGTGACTGATTCACCTTTTTTTCCAAATGTAATGCACACTCCATCGCGTTCAGCCCGCTCTCCCAGTCATCATGATCTGGCTTCTTGATATCCTGAAGGAAGATGCGGCCGCCTCGTTGGTTCTGCAGCTTCATCAGTTTCTCGACATGTTCCCTCTCCTCATGAGATTGGTGAAGAAAGTACTTGGCAAAGTTCTTCAAAGCCACATCATCGCGGTCAAAGTAGTAAGACATGGACAGGTAAACATAGGAGGCGTAGATCTCCAGGTTGTTCTGGCGGTTGATGGCGGCCTCTGAGTCCTGGTGGTAGTTCTGGCGCACCTGCGAAGGTGATGCTGTCGGTCGTCACGGCGGCTGCTAAGGAGAGGCGGTGGCGGCGGCGGCGGCGGCTGCTCAGCGCTGGAGAGGCGGCGGGACCTTGGAGCGGTCCGAGGGCGCGGTGTGGAGGTGACAGAGGGCTGGCTGTGGGCGGCGGGCTGGACGAGCGCCGGGTTCCGTCCAAGCACTGTTGAAGCAGGAAACCGCGGCTGACTCTCGACGAAGAATGTCTCGACTTTTTCACTTACAATGGTAGAATCCAACCATTTTAAGTGAAGAAATGACACGAGTCACATTACCAGGACTGCTGAGCACTGTGGGGAGAACAGACATGGGCAGGAAGTAAGGGCAGGTGTTAGTGCCACAATTCAGGAGTGACAGGGTGGTGGGGACTAAGGGGAGGGGTGGGTGTGAGGGATGACAGGTGCAGAGAGAAGGGCTGGAGAAGCAGGAAGTGAGGAAAAGGAGAGAGGAAAGAATTCTAAAGCAGTGGAAGAGCCTAGCAGGGGGTTCTTTGCATTCGATATTTAATACATTTTGTGGGACTGCCTAAAAACGAATGGTCTCCTTAAGATTAAAAAAAAGGGTTACAAAAATGTTAAATGTCCAAATAAAATATGCACACTGCTTAGATGTGCATAATGAAAACGGGCAGCGATGGAGCCTCAATGAAGAGCATTGGGACTGCATGGAGCACTTGCAACTCTGAGTGATGACTACAGGCTCCCGGTTTAATACACAGTAACAAACCTGCTTCTTTGTATTCAGGAGATGTTCTCGGCTCACACAGGAAAACTTGGACTAGCGAATGAAGATAATTTTAAATGTAACAACCCACAGTCACAGATCCATAGTCTGGGAAAGTAAAACTTAGGAGCTTAGAGAGTTTAATTGTAGCTCTATTTTGACACAGGTCTTTTACAGATTGGAATTCTAATCAGGGATTACCAATATTGTGCTACCTACTGTATTAATAAACAAAAAGGAAACTGGTCTCTATGAGAATCTCTGTCTGGTGCCTTCAGACAAAACTTCACCAGGTTTAAAGAGAAAACCCCTGTCTCTACACGTCCATTCCCCGGGCGAGCTCACTCTCTGGCATCAAATTCCCCGTGGTGAGTTTCCTAGTACAAGAATCCAAGTGGAGAGGTAAGGAGTGGTAGGCAGAGAGTCCAGTTCAGGGAAGGGGATTCCAGGACGAGAAGTGAAGGGGAAGGGGCTGGGCGTAGCCTGAGGGGGTCTCTCCCTGGTTCCACAGACAGATCCTTGGCCAGGACTCGAGCAGTCAGTGTGACGAAGAGGCTTGGTGTAGGAGAAGAGGGATCAGGACAAAGTCTCAGGTCCCGGGCGTGGCTCTCAGGGTTTCAGGCACGGTTTGAGAGCCGTGTCTGCACTGGGGACGCGCAGCCTTGGGGATTCCGCACAAGTGAAACGATGAGTTTCACTTTTCCCAGCCTGTGTCGGGTCCTTCCTCCTGGATACTCGTGACGCATCCCCAGTTCCCACTCCCATTGGGTGCCGGGTTTCTAGAGAAGCCAATCAGCGTCGCCGCGGTCCCGATTCTAAAGTCCCCAGTCACCCACCCCGACTCAGATTCTCCCCAGAGGCCGAGGATGGCGCTCATGGCGCCCCAAACCCTCCTCCTGCTGCTCTCGGGGGCCCTGGCCCTGACCCAGACCCTGGAGGGTGAGTGCGGCGTCGGGAGGGAAACTGCCTCTGCGGAGAGGGGGGAGAGGTCCGCCTGCGGGGCGCAGGACCCGGGGAGCCGCGCCCGGAGAAGGGTCGGGCGGGTCTCAGCCCCTCCTCGCCCCCAGACTCCCACTCCCTGACGTATTTCTACACTGCGGTGTCCCGGCCCGGCCGTGGGAAGCCGAGCTTCATCGCCGTGGGCTACGTGGATGACACGGAGTTCGAGCGGTTCCACAGCGACGCCGCCAGTCCGAGGATGGATCCGCGGGCGCCGTGGATGGAGCAGGAGGGGCCGGAGTATTGGGACCGGGAGACAACTTGCCTCAAGGCGGAAGCACGGAGTAGCGAAATGTCCGTGAGGATCCTGGCCGGCCACTACAACCTGAGCGACGCCAGTGAGTGACCCCGGCCCGGGGCGCAGGTCACGACCCCTCCCCGTCGCCCACGGACTGCCCGGGTCTCCCCGAGTCTCCGGGTTCGAGGTCCACCCCGAGGCTGCGGGACCCGCCCAGACCCTGGACGGGAGAGAGCCCCAGCATTTTCAGTTTAAGTCGAAATCCCCGCGGGTTGTTGTTGTTGTTGGTGGTGGTGGTGGGGGTGGGAGCTCGAGGGGCGGGGCTGACCGCGGGGGCGGGGCCAGGGTCTCACACCTACCAGAGGGTATACGGCTGCGAAGTGGGGCCAGATGGGCGCTTCCTCCGTGGGTATGACAAGAGAGCCTACGACGGCAAGGATCACATCGCTCTGAACGAGGACCTGCGCTCCTGGACTGCCGCAGTCATGGAGGCTCAGATCAGCCAGCGCCGGCTGGAGGCGAACAATGTGGCCGAGAGGATGAGAGCCTACCTGGAGGGCGAGTGCGTGGAGTGGCTCCGCAGACACCTCGAGAACGGGAAGGAGACGCTGCAGCGCCTGGGTACCAGGGGCAGTAGGAAGCCTTCCCCATCTCCTATAGATCTCCCGGGTTGGTCTCCCACGAGGAGGGGAAGAAAATGTGATCAGCGCTAGAATATCGCTCTGCCTTAAATGGAGAATGACACGAGTTTTCCTGAGTTTCCTCTGAGGGCCCGTCTGGTCTCTAGGACAATTAAGGGATGACGGCTCTGTGGAAATGGAGGGGAGACAGTCTCTGGAATGTTGATCAGGGGTCCCCTTTAACCCCTGCAGCAGCCTTGGGTGCCGTGACTTTTTCTCTCAGGCCTTGCTCTCTGCCTCACTCTCAAGTGTCTTTGGAGGTCTGATTCCAGCTTTTCTGAGTCCCCCGGCCTCCATTCAGGTCAGGACCAGAAGTCGCTGTTCCTCCCTCAGAGACTAGAACTTTCCAAGGAATAGGAGATTATCCCAGGTGCCTGTTTCCAGGCTGGTATCTGGGTTCTGTGCTCCCTTCCCCACCCCAGGCGTCCTGTCCAATTTCGGAATGGTCACATGGGTGCTGCTGGGGTGTCCCATGAGAGATGCAAAGTGTCTGAATTTTCTGACTCATCCCGTCAGACCCCCCAAAGACACATGTGACCCACCACCCCGTCTCTGACCATGAGGCCACCCTGAGGTGCTGGGCTCTGGGCTTCTACCCTGCGGAGATCACACTGACCTGGGAGCGGGATGGGGAGGAGCAGATTCAGGACACGGAGCTTGTGGAGACCAGGCCATCAGGGGATGGAACCTTCCAGAAGTGGGCAGCTGTGGTGGTGCCTTCTGGAGAAGAGCAGAGATACACATGCCATGTGCAGCACAAGGGGCTGCTGGAGCCCCTCACCCTGACATGGGGTAAGGAGGGGGATGGGGTGAGGAGGGGGATGGGTAAGGAGGGGATGTGGAGTCATGTCTCTTCTCAGGGAAAGCAGATGCCCTTCTGGAGCCTTCAGCAGGGCCAGGGCTGAGGCCTTGGGTCAGCGTCCCTCACTTTCCTCTCCTTTCCCAGAGCGGTCTTCCCAGCCCACCGTCCCCATTGTGGGCATTGTTGCTGGCCTGGCTATCCTAGGAGCCATGGTCACTGGAGCTGTGGTCACTGCTGTGCTGTTGCGGAGGAAGAGCTCAGGTAGGGAAGGGGTGAGGACTGGAGTCTGCATTTTCTTGTCCAGCTAGGGGTTTCAAGCCCCAGGTAGAAGCGTTCCCTGCCTCATTACTGGGAAGCACCATCCACACATGGGCCAATCCAGCCTGGGGCCCTGTGTGCCAGCACTTACTCTTTTGTGAAGCACATGTGGCAATGAAGGACAGATGTATCACCTTGAAGACTGTAGTGTTGGGGTGCTGATTCCAGCATTCACAAGTCAGGGGAAGGTCCCTGCTAAGGACAGACCTTACGAGGGCATTTGGTCCAGGACACACACCTGCTTTCCTTGTGTTTCCTGATCCTGCCCTGGGTCTGTAGTGATAGTTCTGGAAACTTCTGTTGGGTCCAAGACTAGGAGGTTTCTCTAAGATATCGTGGTTCTGCCTCCTCCCCATCTCCTCACAGGATACTTTCTTCCCACAGGTGGAAAAAGAGGGAGCTACTCTCAGGCTGCGTGTAAGTGGTGGGGGCGGGAGTGTGGAGGAGCTCACCCACCCCATAATTCCTCCTGGCCCACATCTCCTGTGGGGTCTGACCAGGTCCTGTTTTTGTTCTACCGCAGGCAGTGACAGTTCCCAGGGCTCTGATGTGTCTCTCACGGCTTGTAAAGGTGACACTCTGGGGGTCTGAAGTGGGTACGGAATAAGGCAGAGGGGAAAGGACTGGGTAATCGTGATTCTTTGAGTGGGACGTTTCAAGTGTGTGGTGGGCTGTTCAGAGTGTCATCACTTACCATGACTGACATGAATTTGATGACACCTATTGTTTTCTGTAGCTTGAGACAGCTGCCTTGTGTGGGACTGAGATGCAGGATTTCTTCATGCCTCCCCTTTGTGACTTCAAGAGCCTCTGGCATCTCTTTCTGCAAAGGCATCTGCATGTGTCTGCGTCCCTGTTAGCGTAATGTGAGGAGGTGGAGAGACAGCCCACCCCGTGTCCACCGTGACCCCTGTCCCCATGCTGACCTGTGTTCCCTCCCCAGTCATCTTTCCTGTTCCAGAGAGGTGGGGCTGAGTGTCTCCATTTCGGTCTCAACTTCATGGTGCACTGATTACTTCCCTACTGAAAATAAGAATCTGAATATAAATGTGTTTTCTCAAATATTTTTCATGAGAGGTTGATGGGTTAATTAAATAAGTCAATTCCTAAAATTTGAGAGAGTAAATAAAGACCTGGGAACCTTCCAGATTCCACATGTTTGCTGTGCTGAGTCTGTTGCAGGTGGGGATGGAGAAGGCTGTGAGGAGCCGAGTGTGGACGGGGCCTGTGCCCAGTTGCTGTTGAGTCCATCATGGGCTTTATGTGGTCAGTCCTCAACTGGGTCAGGTTCACTGCTCCACTGTCCTTGTCCTTTCAATGGAAACTTGTCCCGCGGGAGCTGTGACCACAGAGGCTCACACATTGACTAGGGCGGCCCCTGCACAAGGGAGTCTGAGACAAATTTTCAGACCCATTCAGCTCCTGCCCTCCTTCTAGGGCTCCTCTTCTGCTTCGCTCTCCTGCCCTCTTTCCCTGTCTTGGTTCTAAGTGAACTTGGTGCTGACTCCAATCCCAACTCATGAACTATAAAGCAGAGGCTAATTTAGACTTACATTTGTTTGCGAAATTGGACCCATCATCAAGGACTATTCTTTCCTGAAGAGAGAAGCGTTGATTGTGTGTTGAAGTGTGCAGGGGTGTGTGTGGGTTGGGAGTAGGTGTGGGAGGAGGGATGGGGAGGGAGGACACACTAGCAGCCCTGCTAAGAAAAGCACAGGCAACCTTAATGTCAGGTGTGAGGGGATCTTGTGCTGTAGCTGCCAAGTAACAGCACTTGGCCAGAGTCTATATTAATAAAGATACTGCCTTTAGAATAGGAGATGCTCTACAGTGACCTTCGTTGTCAGCCAGACATAGGACAGAGTGATTCTGCATCTGGGGAACATCACTGAAGTAAAATCAGAAAAATCTCTTATCTTGTGCAGCATGTGTTCCTGTGGGAAGAGGCAGACGACTGATACACTATAACCAGAGCAAGGAAGGAAAGTGCTAGAAGGTGGGAAGTGCTGTGAGACAGGTGATCCAGGGTGTGGGCAGTGGGGACAGGGAAGGTGGCTGTGGTGCTGGGTGGTCAGTGTGTGCCACGTTGTAAAGGTGACCTTTGAGGAAACAGTTGAGGGACATGAGGAGTTGTCCACGAGGATATCTGGGGAAGTTCTTTCCAGGCAGAGGAACCTCCAGTGCAAATGCACTAGGGCAGGAAGGTGTCTGTGTTCCCAGGAGGGGAAGGAGCCCAAGAGGGCTGGAGAGAGAGAATCTGAGGTAAGGCCAAAGGTACAGCCAGGGCAGGTGTGCCTGGAGGGTGTGGGGAAGCATCTGACCCTTGCTCTAAGATGGTGAGGTAGTGGACAGTTTTGAGCAGAAGAGAGATGTGGTACAACTTCTCTTTTAAAAGGATCTCTGACTGCTGTGCTGAGAACAGAATTGAGAGGTGAGGGATGAGGGAGGCCGAAGGGAAAACAGTGGGAAGCGAGTGCAGTGTTCCAGGCTGGAGATGTTGTTACCTTGACTGGGGTGTGAGCAGGGGAAATAGTCGATTGTGAGGGGATTCTGGATGCATTTTTTTTTTTAGGAAAAAAAAAAAAAGAGAGAGAAAAAAAGAAGAATAATAAAAAAAGAATGAAGGAAGAGGAAGAGGGAGAGAGAACGGGGGTGTTGCTTTATTGCCCGGGCTAGAATGCAGTCTAAAAATGGGTATGAGACATGAAAAAAAAATGAGGGAAGAAAATAACAAACAAGCAGCCAACCAATATTTCATTTAAACCTGTAGGTAGGTGTGATGTGGTACTGATAAGAGTGTGTATTTTGTGTATTTAAAGTGGAGAGTTCTATAAATGTTAATTAAGTTTACTTGTTCCGGATCTGACATCAAATCCTGGATATCGTTGTTAATTTTCTGTCGTATTGATCTGTCTAATATTGATGTTGAAGTCTCCCACTATTATTGTGTGGGAGTCTAAGTCTCTTTATAAGTCGTATATATCTGGGTATTCCTGTATTGGGTGTGTATATATTTAGGATCTTTAGCTCTTCTTGTTGCATTGATCCTTTTATGTAATATCCTTCTTTGCTTCTTTTGATCTTTGTTGCTTTAAAGTCTATTTTATCAGAGGCAAAAATTGCAACTCCTGCTTTTTATTTATTTATTTATTTTTGCTCTCCATTTGGTTGGTAAATCTTTCTCCATCCCTTTGTTTTGAGTCTTTATGTATCCTTGCATGTGAGATGGGTCTGGATGCAGCATACCAATGGGTTTTGGCTTTTTTTTTTTGCCTGTCTGTGTCTTTGGATTGGAGGATTTAGTCGATTTAAATTTAGGATTGATAATAATATTTGTGAATTTAATACTGCCATTTGATCCTAGCTGGCTGTTTTGCCCATTAGTTGATGTAGATTCTTCATTATGTTGATGCTGTTTATCTTTTGGTATATTTTTGGAATGGCTAATACTGGTTGTTCCTTTCTATGTGTAGTGCTTCTTTCAGAAGCCCTTGTAAAGCAGGCCTGGTGGTGATGGAATCTCTGAGTACTTGCTTGTTCACAATTTTATTTTTCCTTCACTTATGAAGGTTAGTTTGGCTGGATATGAAATTCTGGGTTGAAAGTTCTTTTCTTTAAGGATGTTGAATTTTGGGCCCCACTCTCTTCTGGCTTGTAGGGTTTCCGCTGAGAGATCTGCTGTGAGTCTGAGAGGCTTCCCTTTGTGGGTAACCTGACCTTTCTCTATGGCTGCCCTTAGCATTTTCTCCTTCATTTCAACCCTGGTGAATCTGACAATTATGTGCCTTGGGGTTGCTCTTCTTGAGGAATATCTTTGTGGTGTTCTCTTTATTACCTGGAGTTGAATATTGTCCTGCCTTGCTAGGTTGGAAAAGTTTTCCTGAATAAAATCCTGAAGCGTATTTTCCGGCTTGGATTGATTCTCTTGGTCACATTCAGGTATACCTATCAAACGTAGATTAGGTCTTTTCACATAGTCCCATATTTCTTGGAGACTTTGCTCATTCTTTTTTATCCTTTTTTCTCTAACCTTGTCTTTTTGTTTTATTTCATTAAGTTTGTCTTCGACCTCTGATATCTTTTCTTCTGCTTAATCAATTCGGCTGTTAAAACTTGTGGATAGTTTGCGAAGTTCTCGTGTTGTGTTCTTCAGCTCCATTAATTCACTTATATTCCTCTCTAAATTGTGTATTCTTGTTAACATTTCGTCAAACCTTTTTTCAAAGTTCTTAGTTTCTTTGCATTGGGTTAGAACAAGTTCTTTTAATTCACAGAAGTTTCTTATCCACCTTTTGAAGCCTACTTCTCTTAATGGAACACACTCGTTCTCCATCAGACCTTGTTCCGTTGCTGATGAGGAGCTGTGATCCCCTGTAGAGGGAGAGGCTTTCTGATTTTGGGTATTCTCACCCTTATTAGGCTGGTTTCTTCCCTTCTTTATAGATTTATCCATCTGTGGTCTTTATAATTACCGTCTTTATAATTGGGTTTCTGAGTGGACGTCCAACTTGTTGATTCCCAGCGCTAAAATCTGAGCAACCCACTGCGCTGGCCAAAACAGCGACGTTAAGATTAATGGTGCTTTTCTGACTCTGCACCAAGAACCGCCACACCAAGGCAGCAGCAAAACCACCTCGCCAGCCACAAGAGTCGCGCTAGCGACCTGTGGGGCTCCTCCGCTGGGAATCTCCTGGTGTGTGAGCAACAAAAATTCCTCTGAAAGTGTGGTGTCCTCTCATTCTCTGCACTTTCATTGGGAGCTACAATCCCGAGCTGCTAGTGATCAGCCATCTTGGATCTCTCTCTCTGGATGCATTTTTAGATCGACTCACAACATTTGCCAATGGATTGTGTCTATAGTGTGAGAAAGACGAATCAAGGACACCCACAGTTGTAAAATGAGTAAGTAGAAGGAAGGGTAGAGCTACTGTGGAATTGGGGAGACTCTGGCAGGAGCGTACTGAGGAGGGGGCCTCCCAGGCACTCAGTGGAGGAGATGTCTACTAGGAATGCAGGTGAGGGAGCTGAGGTGGCAGTTGGACAGACAACTCCAGAGTTTAGGGAAAATGAGAAATAGACTGGGCTGGAGACATAGATTTAGGAGGTCACACCATATAAACAATACTTATAACCTCAAGCATGGATGAGGGCACCAAGGAAGTGACTGGCTATAGAACAGAATGAGTGCAAGGACTGAACCCTGGACCTCCAGTTCTAAGGGATCTGATCAGACCACACCCAGAGCAGACTGCACAGTTCTGACCCCACGCCTAGAGGACACTTAGACCTCCCATGTGCACAGGGATCACCTGGACGTGGTGCTGAGATCCAGGAAGTCCAAGGTTGAGCAAGAGATTCTGATTTATGACAAGACTGGAGCCTATGTTCCTGGTCTCCAGATCAAGCACACCAGGATCCCACATGTCTGTGCATCAGCCTCACCCGTAGTGCTTGTTATATAAGTGATGTCTTGGTCTTGTGCATAATACCCTGAGACAGGTGTTCTGAGAAGTGGCCTGAGTATTTTCTAAGCCCCTGCCTTCCCCTTTGGGAGCCAGATTGGGAATCACT